TTTTTTCTGTGTCAATATAGGACAAGTCCCTCCAGACGTATCAAAGAGGACTATGCAAAGGGTATTATTACCTTGTTCCCTTACCTGGCTGATCCTAAGAGCAGATTTGGCTATGTAAGTTCAAAACAGAAGTCCAACTTGTTGGCTATGGTTTGAGTAGAACTGAAAATGTTTCTCTGTTGCATCCCCTGCATCTGTGCCACTTGTTTTTAACTTTCCAATTTTAAAACTTTTGTAGAGTTTAGAGTTTCCAGTGTTGACCTACTGCAGCTTGAAGAATAAACATTGTGAAGAGATTTTATTTATGTAATTCAAACAATGGGAACTAAAATCTGTAAATCATAGCTACTATCATTCACGGTTGTCTTTACTTTCGCAGCTTTAAAAACATTTATCATTCACCTACTTTTAGGAGCATTATTACAATGCAGAAGATGGGAGTGGGTATCTGGCTTGGAGACTGAAGTTTGTCCAGAGGGAAGCTTCTAATGGACAAAAGAAGGTCCCCAGACTGTCACAAACCCAAACAGGTATGTGTATTTATACTTGTACAAATTTTATCCTACAACCAAACTGCACAATAGGTTCCCAAGCCTTATTTATTAAATCCTAAGATCGAGTGTCCCATTCATATAATGTTTTTTTAGGGGGACCAACAACTGACAGAGACTGTTTGAGAGAAGAAGACTGCCTTTTGACAGACAGCTTGTGTTCTGAAGCCATTGCGCTGATGAAGCACACAACTGATGAAGGAACTGTAATGACGAAGATGAAACAGACTTTCAACTATCGCCAGAAGATGATTCATGACCCAGTGAAGTCACCTGGTATCTTTTTGGACTTCCCAAGATTCCTGGACATGGGAGGATTGGTATGCTTATCTTCACTTCAGCTTAACCTATTTTTATAAAGTTTAAATTGAGGTGGGCGTGAGAAAGTTTAACAAAATGATTTTTAAAACCTTCATCTCTTCTCCAGGTTGAGCAAGATTTTACATTGATGTTTGGGGAAGCCATCTCTGCAAAATTCCTGGAGAAGTGGCCCACTGTCTACAAGCAGAAAGTCCTCGAACAAAGCCGTGGTCTCACACAGTCTGATGACCTTGAGAACCTTCTTCACAATGCTGAAGGCACAACAGAGGTGCAAAATGGTAAGTTGGACTGGATTATAAAGACGGTGTTTAATGTAACATAATTTTATGTAAATTGATTCAATATAAGTGCGCCTCCTTCTGCCGTCACTGTTTGGTAAGCTTCCTCTGGAAGTGTTAACACGGTTGCAAAGAAGTTCTGTTAGCTTATGTTTATTTCATCTTTTCTTCCAGGATGGGACAGTGACATGTCATCCATTCTGATTCTTGTGCACCTCCTGCCACCGTCACCTCATGGCCGGAAGAGACCAGGAAAACTCTCAGCCAGAGCAGCCATTGAACATCTTGTGAAGTTTGTCAAGGTAAGGTTACAGCTAAGGGAATATTTATGTTGATCAAAATTCCCTATTCTTCACTTATTTTTATTTATTTGTATTTTTTGTGAAGTTGGTCTGAAATTTCATTTCAAGTAACATTAAAGAGGTCCTGAAAAGTAATTTGCCTTAACTATAAGAACCCTGTTTTCTTTGAAACCCAAGACTAATCATGTTTTATTCTGTTTTTACCACAGACAGGAACCAGCATCCAGGGGCACCTTG